ACGCAATGGAGGAAACTTTGGTCCTGACAGCAACAGCAGCGCAAAGTAAATGAAAAGAAGTTATGGTGCAGAAGGGTAGGTAGGTATTGTGGTTGCTTGCATTCTGATCCAAAAACTGAGCTCCTTAATCTGCTCTGTTAACTGAGACATTTTGCGGGGCAAAAGCCACAATACATTCTGACTCTTAACCTTTGCCTAGACAATTAATATTACAATTACAATTCTGGTTCGAATTCCATTTGCCTACAGAAACAAAAGTTATTATTATACGACTTCGGTGCGGCAAACTTAGTAATTTATTTTAGACTAGGATTTTAGTCTGCAAGTGTTGGCAAAATGCCATTAACATTGATAATGATAATTAATCTGACCATTCTGACAAGCTCTTGGCAAATTCAACTTCTTTTTAAAATTTTTGAAGCGGATCAATTTGAAACTGTTAGTAAGGGCCCGAAAAGGCTATTTTCAAAGTCGGTGTACACGATAGTTTTCATAGTACTTCTTTACTGCACAGTACTTCTTTACTAAAATCCTGAAGTAACGCTTTCGTTGTTTTTGGGAAAATTTATTATTTTTACAACAACAAGGTTTTTAACTTTAAACTTAACTTAAAGTGTGCAGAGCTCTTCAGTAGAGGTGCAGCAACATCGATGAAAACATCGATGCATCGATGTTTTTGAAATTTTCTAAATCATCGATATTTTTTTTCAACCATCGATGTTTCTGTGCCGTCACTATCAAGAGAAAATGCCAAAGAAAAGGTACATAAAACTTCCTGCGAGTCAGAAAGAGCCTTCAGCAAGGCGGGGCAAATTATTTCTGACCGCAGGACGCGCCTAAAGCCTGATATTGTTGACCAACTTATGTTCATAAACAAAAATAAAATTTTTTTAAAAAATGTTTAATTAAATTTTAAGAAATTATCTCCGTTTCCTAAACCAAGTGAATAAATGTTTTGTTTTTCTGTTTTTAATACAACCACAAGTGCGCATTTTAATAATTTAAAAACTATTATTTTAATTTTTTTTTGGGTGAAAAACATCGAAAACATCGATGTCTCCATACATCGATGTTTCCGCACCTCTACTCTTCAGTGGCTGTGATTAGATGGTAGGAGGAGGCAACACCATGACAGCACTCCACTGAACAGCAGGAGCACTGATCACTGATCACTAATCACTGATGGATTGTTAACGATAGTTGTGGTGAACGCGTTGGATAATTAACCAAAAAAGTAGCTTAAAATAGTATGATACCTTATCTTGGTACATTAAGCATCGCTGCCAACGTATAACAGAGGGTTACATATCAAAAGGCAAGCAAAATAAAACACATACATACGTTTATATTGAGTCTGTTGCCAAATTGTAAGAATTTCAAGAACTTGAGGTTTCCACGAATGCTGTGATCTATGCTCTAATTTCGGTGCTGCACGAAAATGATTTAAAAAGATTTATTTTTAAGCCAAAATATTAATGACGTCACGGCCATACTTTCAAGAGCGTTCAGCCGAACGAACATGATCACAGATTACTGATCTATCGATAGCACTGTAGTTTTATGGAAGAGCTGGCCACTCTATTTGTAGATATTTCCGGCTTTTTTCAAAAACAGGGCGTGTTTTGTTAAGTTTTGCTGTTAAGTTATAAAGAATCGTCCTTCAATTTCAAATAAATATCTTACGGAATACTTACGGATAGTGGTTTAGAAATATCCTCCCAAGGATGGTATGTTCTTACATACATTCTATTAAAAAGTCCTTTTGCCGAATCTAAGATTATTTTCAGGGGTAATAGAGCAGATAATCTGCGTAAGGCAGGTCTTTTCTCGGATATAACCATCCGTATTGGAAACTCAAGCTACAAGAGTCACAAGTCCATTTTAGCTTCTGCCTCGGAGTTCTTTGAAAAGTTATTTCGAGGAGGATACGAAACGGGAGAAGTTATGTTGCACGACACAACGAAAGAAATATTTGACATATTTATCAATTACATATACACAAAAGACGAAAAGACCCTCGTGAATCTTAAACATGATGTATTGTTGTCACTTTTAAAATCTGCCAATATGTGGCTGGCACGCAAAGTGGAGGAAGTATGCGACAAATGCATTTTAAAAAAAATATGTAAGATGGAACCCAAGGACTTAATACAACTTAACTCAATCTCGTATCATCTGGGAAAGGAATCAATAATGATTTCCACCATTACGGTAATATTCTTATTTCGCAAACTAATTTTTTTTGGTAATTTATTCGTGTATTCTCTATAGGCTCTACAAAGAATCCTTCATAACAATATCAACCATCCGGAAATCATGGAGTTGGAAATCGACTGCTTCAAAAGCTTTTTTTTACACGAAAATGTATGTTGAGGAATTAGAACGTTTTCGGATGGTGGAAGAATGGGTACAAAAAAATATTTTGGAAGAGAGTAAAATTTTTGTATATTCGTTGTACGGGAAAATCGCTCCGATAAAATTAATTTGATCCTGAATAGCATTGACTTTAAAAAAAAGTCATTAAATGGATTTTACAATGGACCAGCAAAGTTAAATTTATTAACAGATGCAGACAAGATCGAAATTATTTACAAAATTGCGACCAGGGTCCTTTAAAAATTAAAGTCAATTTTCACAGAATTTTAGATATAAATGCTATATAGATTGATCTATCACTTGCAGCTTTAAGTTTAACTTTTTTGGTCTTTATCTATTTATTTGTCCGTGTTTAGATGTAACAAGTCTAAATTTACATACAAACACGTCAGAAGTCCCCTAAAAATGGTTGGAAACAAGAAACCTTCTTATCAGCTATTAGACGGTTACTATGAAAATCTTTGTTAAATATAATTTACTATTTTGAAAGGCAATTTAATGAGAGAGCGGTTATACATAAAACAATTTTTATCCATAACTAGATGGCCATTTTCAGCAGCGCTTTTTCAACCCACTCCCCAGACTCACATAGGTAGTTCACCTTAATCAAGCGCCAATTGTTGCAGATCTCCCTTTTTATTCCCTCCCACTTTTCCCGGTCATGCAATGCACTTCAATCCATGGGTGCCCACAATAGTTAACAGCATTGTTACACTTTTAAACGGTATTTTTACACCTGGTACTCGTCAATTGAAAGGGTATTTTGGAATTTTTGATAATGCCTTCAAACTAAAAGTAGCTCAATCTTTTCAATTTCTTTTTTCTTTTGTGAAATTAACAACAAATTTTCTAGCAATAAATCTTGTTGATTATACCGTGAGGAATAACGGATGGTGACTCGCCTTTCCCTTTGTTCTTGATTTCATTTCGTATGCAACTTTGAACTATATAATTATTATGTGATAAACATAGTTGAATTAAAATACCAATTATTCTAAATTATACGGTTATGAGTTGCTTGTTGCGGGGTATTTTACAGTCGAAACCCCTTCCTGATAGATACGTTTGAAAATGCGGCAAAAGGTAAAAGCGAAGCTGCGAAAAACCGAAAACAAAAACCAGAAACAGAACCCGTACGGTGTTGGGTCTGCAGCACCACTGATATATGTATGTACCGGCACCAGAACCACCAGCACCACCGATGGACGCCTCCTGGTCGGGACCACTGCGGTTCATTAGCGGCTCCAAATGCGATTTGCTCGCAATGCAAAGAGGGCGGTGGAGTAGGCGGCCAGGATGAGGGGATGGGGGCGGGGCTGTTGACTCAAACTAGAACACATGAGCACGTAATTTAGTAGCCGCTTTAGCGCTTTTGTATGAAAATCACAACGACAGCAGCACCAATATCGCAGGAACTCCAGCAGCACACAACAGAGATGTCAACCGGTGCCTTGGCCAAATTCCAACTTACTATTAGTTTTATTAAATTATTTTGTCAATAGTGGAACTTTCAAACCTCCAAATATCTAATCAGAATACATAACACGATCTTTACGATTTATAACTAAAAAGGTAAAGTGGTACGACCATATAAATATAGCTAATCGATTTCAAGACGGTATTGCCTATTTTTAAGCTATTAATTAAGTCAAATAAAATTTCATAATTTTACATATATAAATTATTATCTTTTCCACTTATAACTAATCCACATAAAATCAAGGGCGTACCTCCTTTTTAAATGCATACTTCCTGTTCCCAAATAAAATAGGGTCCAAATCAGCATCACTAACAGAGACTCCTCGCTCCGAACGACCTCTGCACCCCCGCGTTGTTTATGGCCATGTGCCACATTGGGATCACATTCGGGCCACTTTTGTGTTTGGGTCCGGTTTTTGCCGTTAATTCCTTTTTATAAATAGCAAGCGATACAAAACTCCTCCGCAAGAAAAAAACTAATTTTATTTGTTAGTTGCGAGGCTGGTGCAGGGCCAAAACGAATCAGTTTTTTCTTGGCCAACATGCAAAGCCTGAACTTGGATTAAGTCCGGCCTCCTTGTATCTCCAGTTTGGGAACAGTATGCCGTTAAAGATGGCAGAGGTCAGGTTGAGTCATTTATATACATAAATTTCCTTTTGCCAAACGAAGAGGGTGGTAACAGTCCAAAAGACAGGGATACCACATTCGCTGGCGTTTAATGAGATTCCAGAGTGTTTAGTTGGAAAAGGAACTTTGATAAACGGGCTTACAACAAATGGAAGAATGTCTTTAATTGACTTAACATGGGGTATTAATAAATTTTGACCCTTATTCCAGCTACCGTTTATCAGAGAAAAAATCATTGATAGAGCAAGCTAATTCGAACGGATAAAACTACAACCGCAATTTGTTTGGGCTAAACAGAAAAATAAGAAAATACTTTCTATTGCGCTCACGTGGTGAAATCACAACTGTGTTTCCTGTTCGGTTATACCAAATGCAAAATGCCTCATCGCTGGCGTTCAATCTGTTTTTGATAACATTTACCCAACAAAGACAACCACTCATGCGGTAGGAATTTTATATTAAATCAAACCAATCAGACCACTTCAATCAATGGTTGATTATAAAAGAAAACAATCAAATAAAGCCTACACAATGCAAAACGGCACAACTAGTTAGATTCGTGACTCAGTTAGTGGAGCTTGGCCAAAAGAGAAGCCAGGGTCTTCTTGGGATCGAAATCGGCGTCGCTGGCCACGGATATATCGGGCAGCTGCTTGGCGGCTATAAAGAAGAAGAAATAATTATTTTAAAAATAATACAATTTAATATATTTTCCCTAACACCATAAGTATCAGTAAATATAAAAGTAATTATATTTTAATTTCCGCATTTTCAATTTATAACATTTATGTTATTGCTTTATAGCCAATTTAAAAATTTTAAATAACATTTTTAAGTTGTCCTTGCGGAAACTAAGCTTTTCTTCAATGGAGAAAAATTGAATGAGAATTTAACTTAAAAAAATTATTGAGATCTGCTTAAAATCTAATTGACAGTTTGTACGCAATCTTATTTCTTTAAAAAAAGGTTCAAAATTAAAAAAATAAAATACAACGAATGTTATGATTCTTTATAATAATTTTACTTTAAACATATTTTGAGGAAGTGGCTACTTACCCTTATCCTCACCCTCGGAAGCTACAGAAATGTCGGGAATCAGATCGGCATCAGCTTGGGCTTTGAACTCCACGGGTTCTGCTCCGGAGACCTTGGTCAACTGGGGCAGGGTCTTGAGACCGGCAAAAGCCTTCATGGGGGTCAAATCGGCAACGGCATGGGTCTTGGGCTCCACGGGCTCGGCTCCGGAGACCTTGGTAAACTGTGGCAGGGCCTTCAGACCAGCGACGGCCTTCCTGGGGGTCTCATCCGCATCGGAGGCAACGGAAATATCGGGAATCAGATCGGCATCGATGCTGGCAATGGCGCCGGCGATCCTGTCCAATAGTGGCTTCTTCAGACCAAAGGAGGCCCGCTTGGGGGTGTTATCAGCATCGGTGGCCACGGACATGTCTGGGATCAAGCCAACGTCAGCCTGAACGGACATATCGGGGATCTGGGCAAGCTTGGGGGCGGCAACCTTGGCGATTGGGGCGACCTTGAACTCGGCGGAACGCCTTCTGGGGGTCGGATCGGCGTCAGTGGCCACCGACATATCGGGCAGCACACCAGCGTCAGCCTGGACGGACATGTCGGGAACGGCGACAGCGTCGGCCAGGACGGACATATCCGGAATCATGTTCTGGAGCATGGCCTGCATCTTCTGGACGATGGCTAAACAGAGTCATAAAAGAAGGGCGCTGTTTAATGGAAAGTCTTCTATTTAATTTTAATCTAATTTTAATTTTGAAGCTTTGTCGTAGTATTGGATTTAAAAAGTATTGAAATCTTACTAAAGTCTATATGTTATCGATATAGCTGATTTGATTTAATAAGAAAACATCCGGTTTCTTTTGTGCATATTTTGATATTGCTTCTGACTCTTACCTTCCATCTGGGGTAACTTGTGGGTGGACTGGATCTCGTAGGCCACAAAGTGCCTGGTGGGTGGCACGAATCCACCGCTGACCAGCGGCAGGATGAGGAGGGCGCAAATGGCAAAGTATTTCATGGCGATCGGTATAAATTCGACTGAACTACGCAGCCACTTGAGGCGAGCTTTTATAGCGGCCTTATCTGGGCACTGACTCCCTTATTTACGGCCCCGATCGAGGCAGACCTCTCCAGATTAGATTCAAAACCCGAAGCGTGCGAAAAAAGAAAAATATTGCCCGATGCCTTGTAAATCTTGGCCGGTGGTTCACCCGAAACGTGAAGTATTGGTTCCAATGTCGTGACCAGGCAGAAGAATTGGCGTCGCCCTTTGCAGACTACTGCTAAAACCCTTTCTTTATCGGCTTAAATAATTCCTCAATACACTTAGAAATAATTTTGTTAAAACCAGCCGTCTTTTCTATGCCAACACAGCTTTTAATATATGAAATAAGTATTTGGTACCACCCTAATAAATATAATAAATAGAAAAACACTTTTATATACCTATGTTATATACCTATGTTACCGTATATGTACACATATCAATTTTTCATATTGTCAGAATTACAAATTTAACAGATATACAAAATAATATTTTTTAAGTGTAATGTATTAATATAAACAAAAAATTTAGCCCATTTCAATTACCTACGCATACATACATACATTATTTGTTATTCTTTACGTGGATTTTTAGAAACCGATGTCAGACTATTATATCTAATCTTTTGCCATTGATGACGTGTGGTTTAGAAGTTGAGTCCACGTATTTTACACTCATTGGGGTAATTGCAACAGCAGGCGTACGTAGTAATAAGTCACATTCATTTAAATTATTCGTGAAATACCGATATATTTTATAACTTTAATCTATGCAATGATGTTGTGATACAAATGACTGATCCATAACAAATTTGCAATAGTGAAAGTGTGGTAGTGCTACCTTTTAATATGATAAACATTTTTTTGCCATTCAAAATTAATTATACCCTTGTAGTGGGTATCATAAAATTGGTCCGAAGTTTGTAACGCAGTAAAGAAGACATTTCCGACCCAATAAAGTACAGCATGAGTATACGAGTAGGTATAGCTATGTTCGTCTGTTTCTATTCCATTTGCCCGCTTAAGAGCTATATCCCATTGCTGGCATATAACTATCATGCTGACAATATGCCGATTATTCACGCTGTTAAAAAATCCTGGCGAACGGACTATAATATCCCAAAGCTGCCAATATTGTAACATTTCGATGTTTTTTAATTTGGGTATAAATCGCCGTTCCGGATATATGTCTGCACAACCTGGCTACAAATTGCTTACTTTGCCAAAGGTAACAGTAAACAGTTAAAATTTTATAAAATAAAACATTATAATTCGAAATAAATGATTTCCCTTAGTAGTAATTGTCTAGTATAGCGGATCATACCCCAAAAAATGAAAATTATATCCTCTTCAAAGTTACGGAGTTTTCTACAAAAATCTAGAAAGATTTGAAAAATACATATAAAATTATAATTTAAACATACGGCCAGATCTCAGCAATGGGGAATTTGTATAATATTGCATGGAATAGCCACTCAAAAATATTTATGTTTTTCTTACTCTGCAGGATATGTCTCCACTGATCGGAAAAATAGGATTTAAAAATTTTTTAGAAATCTTAGAAAGTATTTGGAAGACCCACAAATGTTATTGGTCTGGGTTAAGAATATGCTAGACAAAGCAGCTTGCGACGCAAATTGTGATTAATCCATCCGACAATGCAGAATCATCAATACCTATTAAATACCTGATAATACTTAAGTGTCCATATCGTCCCGGTACTGATTAATCACCTTAAATATTACGTTTGGCTTGGTTGTTGCTCCAAAAATATCCACGAAGAAGTAATTACTATCAAAAACCTTGATATTGAATTTTAACAACACGACTTCTTTCTTTAGGTAAAGGCAATATTTATTGGTTATGTATTACTACAAATTATGAAATGACATTTATATTCGAATTTTCTTAAAAACAAGTTTATAGCTACAATAAGAATATTCGCAAATATTTTTTTTATAATTTTCTTTGCGTACTAAATATATAACAAAACGGTCAAGAATTTATAAATTGTATTTCCATCTAAAAAAAATTTGTTTTTATCTTGTGTAGCAACAAATTTGGAAACTGAAATTCTTAAAATTATTTGTTTGGAAAAATATTTTTTTGACAACATTATAAGTGCTTTAGTTAACAATTCTTATATTTTATGTTTCGATGATTTCTGTTGTGTTTGTTTAATCTTTAAGATTCTTGGTATAAGTTTACGTTGGTATATTTTCTCGATCTGCAAGTATTTCTATTGGCTTGTCTTTACATGCCGAGTATGTCGTCCTGATCGTCATTGTGATCCACCGGCTCTCGCTTTAGGCTGGCTAGTGAGAAATCATCCGCAGCAATTGTGGCTGCCGTCTCCGAAGATTCCTTCTTTTTCCTCGGCAACGGCTGACTTGGTTGCTGAAGAAGATCCTGAAAGGAGGTCTTGGTATTGGCCACCACCAAGCTGCGCTTCAGGGCGGTCGACGGGGAGCTTCCTTCACCGGAGACAGAGGGTGCAGCAGCAGCCTTAGGCTGGACAAAATCATTAAAGGCGGCACCTTGCACACTGGCAATCTGCGGAGTTTTCTGGGGCGTCGAAACTCCGCCGGTGGGCGAGGCTAGCTTCTGGCCACCGGGAATGCTGCCCACGGATTTCCTCACCAGCAAGCTACTGCCGTGCGGTACGACGGCCAGTTGTCCAGCGGCCACGGCGGAATAGCGAGGTCGCTGGGATGGTGGTACCATTCCCTGGGTAGTTCCCAATAGTCTCCGCTTTAGCAAAGCCGCCTCCAAGTTGGCGTTTAAAGAGCTGCTATTGGCAAGCTGGGCATTGGTTGGGTTACCGCTGCCGCAAACGGAATACCTCCGGGACATGGCACGCACCTTCACCGGCTGACCGGCCTTGACTGGCTGCGCTGAGTTGGCCTGCCCAAATAAGTTGTTTAGTCCCTGCGGCCTCACAGCAGCCACTACAGTAGCTCCCTTGGGACTGGCGACCTGGGCATTGGCCACCTTCACCGTACTGACATTACTGTCCACGCTCTCCTTGCGCAGATTTTCCAGGGAGGCACTCAGATTGCCGTTCGGCTTACCACTCATCTGCAGGATTCTGTACATCTTCTTCTCCTGCCCTACACCGACTGCGTTGTTGCTTCCGATCTCGAGTCCAGTGCCTGGCTTGTAGACCCTCTGGATCAGGTGGCGTGGCATGTTAGCCCGCGGCCCTCGCAGTAAATCGGGGACAACAGGGCTGCGGGGAGTGGCTACCTCGCCTGGCGGTCGAATTACAGTAACCTTAGCCGCGCTCACCATACTGACTAGCTCTCTGACCAGTCGAAGTTCCGGATCTGAAACGTGCTCGAACCCTGAGGGAGTGTTTATATTGAAGTGCTGCTGTTCTCCGGCCGCCGGAAAATCGGTGGCGTCATCAAAGGTCTCCATCAGGGCTTGAAATACTTTCTTCTTGAAGTGCATCTTCTGGCGGGCGTTCATCTCCCGGATTTGTGGCTTGATCATTTCGAGGAAGTGCTCATCCGAGAAGACGTCTGGGCTGTCGGTTTGGGTGCCCCGCTCGACGCGCTTCAAAAGGGTGATATATGGTGGTACAGAAATAGACGATCCTGCAGTGCTGGTTGTGGGCAAGGCAGTTACCACTGTACCCGAGGGACTACTGGTCGACTTGACGCTGCTGGTCGTGCTGGTCGAACTAGGACTGTAGCTCATCACGGTTATGTTCTCAGATGTTTTGAGGGTGTTGCTAACTTTGTTCATGGTGCTAGCGCTGCTGCTGCTCAAGCTGCTAGTGCTTGTACTTTTATTGGTAATATTACCGCTGCTGCTGGCCCCATTTACCGGGGAACTATTCGGCTTTTTAATCGTCAAGACTTTGTTGCCTACGGACGGCGGCTGTCTTTCTATCACCTTCTGGATAAATTGTATCTTCTTGGGCGGCCTGCCCACGGATCTTCTTTGTGGTAGACTGTGTGGAACGGGCACCTGTTGGATGCCTATCACCGCATCGCTTTTTGGATAGATCAGGTGTTGTGTTTTGGTTTGGTTTTGACTCTGACTCTGGCCCTGACTCTGGCTTCCAGCTGGCGCCGAAGGCCGTGGAAAGATGTCATCCCGAGGGTTCACTTTTTTGATCTGGATCTGACTGGATGGAGGCTTATTGATCGGCTGCGATCTGGGCACTGGGGTCAACTTTACCGGCGATGTGGCACTATTGACGCTGTGCACGGCCGCCAAGCTCATTGATTTCCTGCGCTGCAAACGAGTCATTCGCTGTCCTAGGGCAGGTTTTCGAATCGGCAATTCCTTGATGCCCGCGAAACTTATGGACGAGCGTGCTGCGCGGCGTAGACGGCGACTTGGAGAGGTCGTGTCGCTAGCTGCGCCTCGGCTTTCAGCTGCTCCGCCATTTTCATCAGCACTATCCTCCATGGTTTCCTCCTCCTCAAGGGTATCCTCGGAATTGGAGTCGTCCTCGGGTTCACCAACGGAAGCTGAGTTCTTTTTGCCAATGATCAGCAAATGGGGATCGTGGCTTTGCTTGATAAAGAACTCCGACTGGCTGGCGGTTGAGTCAGTATTTGTCGTTTCAACAGACTTTTCGGGCAATGAATCCTTTTCCTGGATTGATTGTTCCAGGTCAAAGTCGAAGCCTTCCAGTTGCTCTAGGTGCTCCTCATCCTCGCACTCATCGTCTTCATGGTCCGACTCCAGGAAACTATCCGGTTCGGTAACTTTCTCTGGCTCCTCCGCTTCTTCCAACTCCCTTTCAAGAGAGTCTTCCTTAGTTTGCGCCTTGTCTGCGTTGTTTTCCGTTGCTTTGTCTACTTTTCGGTGGGATTCGTCTTTAGGAAGTGTACTGCTCGGCTTTCCCTCCTTGACTGGTATCTTTGCCGGTGCGGCGACTTTTTTTATGGCTGCCTGTGGCTGCTGCTGGAGGTGATCCCTGCTCTCGCTGTCTCTGTTGCTATCCCTGTCCTTGTCCGACGATATGCTGAGTTCGTCCTCGATGGGCATGTCTTCGGCCAGGTTGAGATGGCGATCCAAAAAGCGCAGCTCATCGGCCAGCAGATAGGCCAATCGACGCTGGCCTTTTCGTCGGCGGTGGGCGTCCGTATTGCACCAACGGGTATAATCGTTTCGCAGCTGACGCCAGCGTCGCTTGCACTTTTCCACTGTCAGAAAGAAGAGCAAAACGGTTCAATTAGACAGGTAGAATAAATATTTAAAATTTAAGGCGGCAGGTAGCGGCCGAAACAACATCTGGCTTAACCACCCCCTGGTTTGACTGGGAAAGCAGCCAAAAAATCCCAATATAATCCCAGATCATTAATACCTTTCGCCCATATCACGTGGATCATAAAATAAGTTTTTAATTGAAACCAAACAATGGCCTGACAATCAGAAGAGTTACTACATAAGCAGTTTAAAATTAAAACAAGAAAGGAAAGTTAACTTCGGGCGGAGCTGAAACAGACAGACGGAGAGACGGAAATGCTTACATCAATTCAGGACGCGATCTTGATCAAGAATATATATACTTTATAGGGTCGGAGATGTCTCCTAGACTACGTTGCACACTTTTAACCAAAATTATAATACAATCTGCAAGGGTATACAATAAAATATTTCTTTTTAAAATAACATTTTTTTTGTTTCTGATAATTGTTACGCATAAATGTAGGCTACAAATTTTACAATATGAAATTTTTTATGTTAAGCGGAGAAAAACGAACTTATGAAAAGAGAGAATTGAGTTATAACAAGAAAGGAAGCAAACTTCGGGAACCCGAAGTTTTTATACTCTTGCAGTTATTACAAAACGACCACATTTCGATTTCTATGCCTATATTACTAAAAACAATCAAGCTATGCCGATTTTGCGCTGCATTTTTCCATCGTTTCTATGGCAGCTATATTATATTGTTATCTGATTTTAATTTAATTTAAACCGTAATTCAATTATATTTAAATAAAACAAATTCCCTAACACAAAAAAAAATAATTAAAAACAGCAAAGTTATAATTTTTTTGAATTTTTTTCCGATTGTTCATATGGGAGGTATATGATATAGTCGCCCGATCCGGCTCGTTCACTGCGTTGCCAACTTTTAACTAAAATTCTAGAAACTTTTTATTTGACTTTGCATTGCTGACAAAAATAGCATATAACAAGAAAGAAAAGCTAACTTCGGTCATATGGGAGGTATATGATATAGTCGCCCGATCCGGAATATTCACTGTTGCCAAATTTTACTAAAATCTCCAGAAACTATTCATATTTGACTTTGCATTCTTAAATACTCATAAAAAATCCCATATACCAAAAAATAAAACCCATAGAAAATCCCAACTTCCTAACATAACAAACACCAAAGTTATGGCATTCTCCAATCAACTATTCATATGTGCATGCTATAGGATATAGTCGGCCGATCCTTATGAAATTTGGTAGGTCCGATTGATTGCCCAAAAATAAAACCCATATAAAATTCCAACTTCCTAACATAACAAACAGCAGAGTTATGGCATTTCCGATCAATCAGTTATATGGCAGCTATAGGATAGTCGGCCGATCCCGACCGTTCCGACTTATATACTGCGTGGTCAAAAGGAAAGTAAGGGTGTGTGCAAAGTTTCAATTCGATATCTTTAACCACACTGAGAGACTAGTTCGCAAAGAAACATACAGACTGTGGACAGACAGACGGATGAATCTTTAAGACGGACAGACGAATAGACGGACATGGCTTATATCAACTCAGGAGGTGATCCTGATCAGAATATATACTTTATAGGGTCGGAGATGTCCCCTTCACTGCGTTGCACACTTTTGACCAAAATTATAATACCCTCTGCAAGGGTATAAAAACACATAAATGGTTATAAATTATTATATTTTATAAATTCAGTTAGTAGATTGCAACTCAATGATGGTGACATTTGAGCCCTATACAGTATAGTCAGCTGCGATTATGAAAACAGTAATTCTTTTCCCCTTCAAAATCCCGCTTTGGTTTTTTTTCTGTATTACGATTTCACAAAAATATTTTGATCTAATTATTCTTACATATCTATTTGAAGTTATCTAAGATAGATAATTATCGTTTTTTAAAGCATTGAAGTCCGTTTAATGAACAACTAATGTTCAAATACGATTGTTTATCGATATAATCCTTTGTTTTTTAAATATTAATTATAAATTATATTTAAAGTATGATAAAATAACATTAATAAGCGAACCGTATTCGAAACAAATGTCAATATAAACAAACCAGAATTAAAATCCTTAAATACGCTTTTTATTTGGTTATCGAGCAAAATATGGCCAAAAGTGTCCTAGGTAATTATATTTATATACCATTATACCAAATAGTTATATTTGGGATATAAAAGCCAAGAACTATATTTATATTAAAAGTTATACGAATTTAGTATATTCAATTACCTGTCACTGTAATACTTAACACAATACTAAACCTTCAAGCTGCATAAGTATATAAACTTCCTTTCTTGTTTAACGTGAATTAGATAATCCGATGCTAATTAAACTGAATATCAATATAAAACAAGAAAGGAAAGCTAACTTCGGACGGAGCCGAAGTTGATATACCCTTGCAGAATATTCTGTAAATTATATTCTTCAAAATTATTCATATGATGTATTCTTAATACTCATAAAAAGTCCCAACTTCCTAACTTTACAAACACCAAAGTTATGGCATTTCCGATCAGTCAGTTATATGGCAGCTATAGGATATAGTCGTCCGATCCTTATGAAATTCGTTAGGTCGGATTAATTGGCCAAAAATAAAACTCATAGAAAATCCCAACTTCCTAACTTTAAAAACACCAACGTTATGGCTTTTCCGATCGTTCAGTTATATGGCAGCTATATGATATAGTTGCCCGATCTAGCTCGTTCCGACTTATATACTACCTGCAATAGAAAGACAACTTTTAGGAAAGTTTCAAGCAGATGGCTTTAAAACTGAGGGACTAGTTTGCGTAGAAACGGACGGACGGACGGACAGACGGACGGACAGACGAACAGACGAACATGGCTAGATCGACTCTCCTGGTGATGCTGATCAAGAATATATACTTTATAGGGTCGGAAATGTCTCCTTCACTGCGTTGCAAACTTTTGACTGAAATTATAATACCCTCTGCAAGGGTATAAAAAAGGTCGGTGAAACACGTGAAAAACGTTTTATGTACTTTGCAATTATACTAATTTAGTTTGTTGATTAAAAAAATGCATGGCAAAGGAAAGGTCAGTATGTATATATTTGTGAGCGTTAATTTGTGTTGTTCAAAACTAAAGAAAACTTAACGAATGGGAAATTCTATTGTGGGTACCAACGAATCGTTTACGCAATCGAGCAATTGCGACTTTGTACCTACATATGTATTTTAATTTTTTTGTTGTTGAGGTGTATGAAAATTTGTATAGTGAATTAGTGAATAATCGAGAAGAGCAACGATTTGTACAAGGTTCCGTTTTTTTGGCATACACCTTTTGGGCATTTGATTAACAAGTGGAATAAAAACAACAGACGTACAATTTGAAAACAGAAGTAGTTTTTTTTAAACATTAAATATAGATGGCATTAAATACATGTTGGCGCGATCCAAGGTAAAGTTAAGTTCAACCGCTTTATGCTTAATGTTTGAATTTATGAAATACGGATTAAATTTTATAAAAATATGAATACTTTGCTTTCAATACATTTTTTTTGTATCTGCAAATGCAAATAAACTTTAACTTCCTAATTTTCATTTTCTTTCATTGTTGGCTACTTTCTCAAACAATATTATTTCATAAGTGCGTTCGAATTAGCTATTAGTTATCTCCACCTAACATTATTAATTTGAAAAAAAAAACAATTGTGTTAGTAAAATAAACTTATGGTAGTAGTTTCAGATTGAAAAAGAGCCTAACATGGAGTTTGCGCAAAGTATAAAATTAATCGGTAGGTTTTAAATCCCAATGCTTACCCGGCGTGGAGAAACGGGTGATTTATAAGTTTGTCAAATTTAACCGTTTTAAATTTTAGTAAAATATTTTTGAAATATTATTTATTTATAAAAAAATAAACAAAAAAATTGTTTACTTTGTCTTATAATTTCTGATTAACATCAATATATATAAACATAATATGTACGTTGTAACAATAACCTGAAATTAAACACGAAACTGATTGGTCGGAAATCAAAAATATTGTCATACCAACTCACTCACACACACAAGAAAATTGTCAAAAATCACATGACTAAACTCACTTAGTCCATTTCGCCCTTCACAACGTCTGCCTATGTAATAAAATTACTAATTTATAAACAAAACTTACCTGTACACACACCAAAGCCGAAAGACATAAAAGACATTAAGACAAAAAGGAAAAAAAAATTACCCGACTTGACTAGCCTACGAAGTTTGGCACAAAGAATGTTCCAGGGGCGATTACAAATATAATCGATAACACAGCATGGAAAAATTGACAGAAGTACAAATATCGAAAATAATCTAAAGCAAAAAAAAAATAAAGACCACCAATGGAAATCTTTTTAGGTCAATTTTATGATTTTTAAAAATCTTTATATAAAGTCAGGTTTTTAAATTCCTAAAATTGTACTATACAATTCACATTTATACCCTTGCAGAGGCTATTTTAATTTCAGTCAAAAGTTTGCAACGCATCGAAGGAGAAATTTCCGACACTTAAAGTATATACAGTGGCTCACAGCTTATTTGACCCACACCTAATTTTCAACATTAAACAGGTATAACTCCTGAACCATAAGAGATACCCATAAAAATAAAACGCAGAAAGGTTAACTGTTGTTTTAACTTCAAAAATATGTTTTCATTTATTTATTCTAGCAAGGAACTTCTTAATTAAACAATAAAAACTAAAAATACTGCCTTTTTCAATGTCACAGCTTATTTGACCCAATTCATCAAATTAATTATAAAAAATTGCATAAAAATATTTTTTTAACTTTTAGTATTTGGTATGTCCGCCCTTTTGGTCCACAACCGACTTCAGTCGATTGGGAATAGATTCGACCAATTTTTTGAGGTTCCTGGGGTGATTTTAGCCCATTCTTCGAGCAAAGCCGTTTTCAAGTCATTTTTATTGGAAATATTGCGCTCCCGAATTTTTGAGTCCCGCAAAGCCCACAAATTCTCAATAACATTAAAATCGGGTGACTGAGCTGGAGATTTCATTATATTGGGACAATTATATCCCAGCCAATATTGAACAATACCCTACTTATGCTTTGGGTCATTGTCTTGGTAGAACCGAAAACCCTGTTTTATTCCCAATTTCTCAGCACTTTGGAGTAAATTATCCTTAAGGATATTAAGATAAACATTTTTATTCATTATGCTTTCAATAAATTTTAGGTTTCCGACTCCTACTGCGGACTTACAGGCCCAAACCATAACGTGTCCGCCGTCATGCTTAACGGTGGGTTTTAGATGTTTGTCCTGCAGCTCTGTATTGGCTTTACGCCATAGCTAAGAACGTCCTCGGACCAAAAATATTAAATTTTGACTCATCAGCGAAAATGACGTAATATTTTTGGGTCTAAATATGTATGTATTCTTGACCAGCGTCACCAGGAGAGTCGATCTGTCCGTCCGTCCGTTTCTACGCAAACTAGTCCCTCAGTTTTAAAGCTATCTGCTTGAAAATTCCCCAAAAGTTGTCTTTCTATTACAGGTAGTATATAAGTCGGAACGAGCCGGATCGGGCGACTATATCATATAGCTCCCATAGGAACAATCGGAAAAAAGAATTTTAAAAAATTAGAACTTTGTTGTTTTAAATTATTTTTTCTTTGGGATTTTGTAATATTTTTATATTATGTAATTATGGTTTTAATTAAATTAAAATCGGAAAACAATGTCATAAAGCTGCCATAGAAACGACATAAAATCGACATACCTTTTTTTTTAGTAAAATAGGCATAGAAATCGAATTATAGTAGATTTGTGACAACTGCAAGGGTATATAAACTTCGGCTTGCCGAGTTTGCTTACTTTCTTGTTTTAAATGCAAGTGGTATGTGTGAACTAATTTTAATCAGTATTATTTTTTATTTTAACATACATATGTATGTACCTAAATATTTCAAATTTAAAGTGTTACTCATTAAACATTTTAAAAAGTACACCCAGAAAATTGGCTATTGTGTGTTTTCAAAAAATTAGGAATGCAATTTTCAACAAATATATTTTTAGTTGTTTAAATTTTTCAATAAAACAAGATCAAGAAATGAAAATGTATTCATGGTCACAATATACAATAATATTTCTTTTTATTTAGGGTGGCCGAAATTTGTGTTCTTATCCAGCTACATAGTTTGCATTTGCTATTCAGGTAATACCGTGACTGATAGTATTAAAACCGATAGATACTTATAATAATAAGACCAGTTTGGCATGAACAAAAAAAGAAGTTGCCACATAAAGACTACCTATGTTTCCCAAGTTTTTAAATAACTGCGAAGACGGTTCATTGTGCGACTTGAAAGCTTAATGCAAAATGCATTTCTGTGAAACATAAAATTTAATTTTTACAATTTGTACATTTCTAAAACATAGAAAAACATTAAACCCATTTGTTAATTTATTATAAAAACTTTTATTTTGAAAATAATGTTTTTCAAAAATGTAAATACAGAAATATTAGAATATTAAATTAAAACTTATATTTTAAAACCACGTTGTATTTTATTATTAATACAAAAGAATTTTAATGATATTTTTGATTGCTATTTTTTTCGAATATTTAAGAATATTCAACATGTGTTAAAATAAATAAAATAAATTTGACTTAAAATTAGATTACCAGAAACATTAATATATAAAAGCTTTTATAAATGAGGGTGTCCTGAAATGCATATTTTATAAGGGTATAACACAAAACTAAAAGCATACCAAAGACCCCAACTCAAAGTGCTTCCGAAAATGTGTTTCCAACGTTCTATTCACCCCCAAACGAATTCGCATTCAACAGGAGATTCGTTATTTTCAAATTAATCGATGGCAACTTTTTCCGCTTGGCATTACCAACACACACTCACAAGCGGCGAGCTGCTAACTTGAGCGCAGCTATCGGTGGCCGATAACCCCGGGGTGGTCGATAAGTGTGCGCTTGTTGACGCTTCGCAACACTAACAAAAAATACGCAACACCGTGTCTCCGTCTCGCTCCCACTCACTCACCCGACTCCCCGATTTCCGAGGCCACCATGTCCCAGGAATTCTCGGTGGGCAGGCGCTTCCTGTAGTTTTCGTCGTAACGATCGTACAGCGGTGTCTGCTTCTCCACCGCCCGCAGCAGCAACACGTTCGCCTCTGTGGCACTGCCCATCCCTAAGTCACTTTTAGCTGTTTACTCGAGAGGGCTCTGTGCAGCGAGAATTTATCGTAGCTACAAATGCAACGCGATTCGATTCACACAACCACAACAAAACACACGCGCGCAGCAGCTGAGACGAAAAACGCAGACTGACGAAAGCAGCGAAAACTCAACTCAAGCGAGTGCACACAGGCACACAAATACGCACACCGACAAGAGAGAGCGAAGAGCGCGCTCTCCTTGCAAGGAAAAGCGAATTGGCAGGTCGTCGAGAAAAACGAGGGTTGGCGAAATCTATCCAGGGTTGGTAGTTAGTAGTGCGTTAAAATATATATTTAAAGCTCCTTTAGCTTAAGGTACGGAATTAAACTGAATTGTGACAAGTGCCGAAAAAGGTATCTTCAGTTAATGAGTGCCCCACCAATTAAATCAATATATTTTGATTTAATTTAAATAATTTTTTTTGGATACGTTAAGATATGTGAAATGTGGCGTATTATATTTTTATTTGTTTGGTACACACATTATTTATATGAATTAATAAAATTGGTCGCTAGTTAATTTAAAATGTATAATAAATAAACAAATTAAATTTTTTATTGTAGGCCATACTTTTTTATTCTGAAAACCCATTTTTAGTTTAAAAGAATCAATTTTGCGTTTGTTTTGTTACTTCAAACATTTTTATCTAGAATATTTAAATGTTGTACCACATATTCATAGCATATTTATTATGATTAATGCTCTATTATGTTTATGTTAATTTTATTTGATTTTCGAACAGTAGCCGATCGATAAAGCAAACTAATACCAACCGGAAGATGCTGACTATACATATCAATGGTGCTGAAGTGATTGGAATATATTATCATAATTATTTAAACTTATATATTTCTTAGGACTGGAACGGTTTTGCACTCGTATTTGTTGCTAAAAGCGTTGGCAGCTCATCCACTGATCGAACGGCCTTGCCAACGCAAACTAGATTATTTTTGACTTTGTATCTGGCAGTGCCTTCGCTCTCTTTTGACGCAGCTGTGCCGCTTGTGCCTGAATGTGTGAGAGCCAGTGGCATGACATTTATTCTCACTTTCTGAGAGGGTAGCAAGCTGTGCGAAAAGTCGGCCCCCGTTGTCATTTGCAGAGAGTGCGCTCCGTCACTGGCCTTAAGTTTGTTGTGACCCTTATTTTATTTCGCCGGCAACGAGTGTTTTGTTTATATTCGACCCCCGTTAGGGATTCAAATGACCAGCTGACAGGCGAAACAATCTAGTTCTCCGGTGCTCCGGGTGTCAAAAATAAATGTAAATTTATTAAATGAATGTTGGATTTGGAGCTGCAACACTTGTTGGCAGCAACACGAAATCGCAGCAAGCTTCCAGTTGCAAAGAGCGAGCGACAGCAGCAACTTATTCGTGCACGGCAGCAACAAGCGCCGGAAAAACCAGTTAAATATATGAATAATCATTGTAAAAGCGGTGCCACAAATCGGATAAAGCATTTGTTAACAGAATTCAGGTAGGTTGAAAAGAGATGGAGCACCGCTGGTAGAGAAAATAACTGTTGTTGCAGGCGAAACAGCGACGCAAAGACGCGCCAAACAGCTGTTGCACGCACAGGCGACAACAGTTTCACCTTCGTTTTCGGATCCATTATTTTTCTTTTTATACCCTTGCAGAGGGTATTATAATTTTGGTCAAAAGTGTGCAACGCAGTGAAGGAGACATCTCCGACCCTATAAAGTATATATATTCTTGATCAGGATCACCTCCTGAGTTGATATAGCCATGTCCGTCTGTCCGTCTGTCCGTCTGTCTGTCCGTCTGTCTGTTTCTACGCGAACTAGTCTCTCAGTTTTAAAGATATCGAATTGAAACTTTGCACACACCCTTTTTTCCTTTGCACGCAGTATATAAGTCGGAACGGCCGGGATCGGCCGACTATATCCTATAGCTGCCATATAACTGATTGATCGGAAATGCCATAACTCTGCTGTTTGTTAAGTTAGGAAGTTGGAATTTTATATGGGTTTTATATTTGGCCAATCAATCCGACCTACCAAATTTCATAAGGATCGGCCGACTATATCCTATAGCTGCCATATAACTGATTGATCGGAAATGCCATAACTTTGGTGTTTGTGAAGTTAGGAAGTTGGGATTTTCTATGGGTTTTATATTTGGCCTATCAATCCGACCTACCAAATTTCATAAGGATCGGCCGACTATATCCTATAGCCACCATATAACTGATTGATCGGAAATGCCACAACTTTGGTTTTTGTTAAGTTAGGAAGTTGGGATTTTCTATGGGTTCTATTTTTAACCAATCAATCCAACCTATCAAATTTCATAAGGATCGGCCGACTATATCCTATAGCTGCCATATAACTGAACGATTGGAAATGCCATAACTTTGGTGTTTTTAAAGTTAGGAAGTTGGGATTTTTTATGAGTATTAAGATTGCATCACATGAATAATTTTGGAGAATATAATTTACAGAATATTCTGCAAGGGTATATCAACTTCGGCTCCGCCCGAAGTTAGCTTTTCTTTCTTTTTTTTTTCGATTTGCAGTTTCTATTGATGAAATGAATACGCGACGACGACCAATTCCACCATCGCCCAATATTTACGCGACCAATGCCAAAATATGCCATTTGGTGGCCCAACATCCTTGTCTTTACGATCGATCCGATGACAACTACATGCGGAAATCGACAGTGAAAAACGCCTGGAAGGATATATCCAAAGAAACGCGAAATTCGGGTGGGTTTTGTAATGACAATATGAGATATCGGGTCTATGCAATGTCCCACCCCAATTAAAAACATTTGTTTCATTTTTGAAAGCTTTTTGATATTTAAGATATTTAGATAATTTAAACAATATACCTAAAATACTAATATGAACTTAAAAGATACTTCATTTTGTTGATTTTTGATATGTATAGTTTGAAAATTTGTATTTTTTTTCACGTTTGGCAGACATTTTCTATTTTATTCGCAAGAATGTGAAACAGTTGGTTAAAATAAGATTTTAACTTTTTGCATTTGATAGAGATATATATGTAAGTTTAAACTGAAGAAATGTTCTTTGATTCCATTCTATTCATCACTTTTATTCAATTAAAATTAAGATAACATTAATTCCGACTGTAGTTACTTATCTTCTATATATATATTCTATTTTTTCTATTCCCCAATGCTTTTCAGTGAAAAGTTGCAAAGAACGGTGGCGCAACATTCGCACCAGTTACGCCCGCTCAATGAAGCTGCACCACGGTGCGAACACGTACTATCTCAAAAGCGAACTAAAGTTCCTGCAGAAACACATCACTCCCGGAGTTCCCGTTCCGCTAAGAGGACGCCGCATAAGGACCAGGGGTCAGGAGATGCAGGACCAGGATGATGGCGAGCACGAAACGCCCGTGGAGGCCTTCCTCGAGATGAAGCAATCGCCGAGCAGTCCAGGCACGGAGCATGCGCAGAGCCGCGACAGCAACGATACCGAATCGGAGGAGTCCGAGGATGAGAAGGGTTCCTGGCAGGCCCTAGCCAAAAAGCGTCTGCGTTTATCCAAGGAGAGTCAGGAGGAGGCCAAGGTGGGCGATAGAAACTGCATTTTCCACAGAATTAGCCTTAACTGGGGGTTTTAATATTTGACATATTTATGCAAAGCGCCAAACTGATGCAACAATGCATTATATGTATAAAAAATGGGAAAAATTTGCGCTTTTGGGATGCACACATCATAAAATAGTATTTGCTCTAGTAACCAGTCGATTAGACTAGCTTTTTATAATCATACGATCCAAATAAATAACTTTAGGCAACACTTTTTAAATGCCTGCTTAAAATAATTAAATTAGGGCTTTTGTACAAACTACAGAAAATGCCTTAAAACCACAAATTATGCCTTCAAAATAATCGTTTCTTATTTTTCATTTTTTTAATTTAGCTATATATTTGTGTAAAATTCATAATACTAATTAAATTATTTGTTAGACTGCCCTTCTCTTAAGAAATCAAATACTGGGCAATGCTGATAGTTCAATTTGTCTAATTTCACTTCAAACAAAAATTTCATCTATTCCCTATCTTCAGACATCCCACAATGAAGAACCAGCGCCTATCATCGATTTCGATGACGCATTCCTGCAGGGCCTGCGTCCGGAAATCAAACACATGAACTTCCACCAAAAACTGTACTTCAAGCGTCGTGTTTACGAGCTGCTCGGCGAGATATTCCATTCGGAGGAGTCCGCCTCGTCCGGCCACCCACCGCAGCGGCAGTTCCCGGAAAAGGTCAATGGGACACTACCCGCAACCTCACCCTCGTCCTCATCCTCGAATCCTCTGCAGCACTTGGGACTAACGTTGCAGCTGCCAAAGCTGATAGCCAAGACAGCCAAAGATGTCTAACTTCCGAGGCTTGGATCGACTGATATCGAATTTATGTACAGCACATAGGACAAATAATATTTTAAGTTGTGTTTAAACATGTTCAGAGAATGTACAAGCTAACTGCATGGAGCAGTTAACAGTCTAATATGAAGTAAATAAATTAATAAAACGATTTTATAAAATTAATTGTTGTTTCGAAACTTTAGTTTTGTGGAATATCAAATATAAATAAAAACCTGGAAAAAAGATTTTATTTTTCTTGTGAAAATCGTTTTCCGAAGAACTTAATTTGTGTAACTTTTTAATTTAATTTCATATATATTGTATGTTTATTTTTACCAAATACTTTTGTATACGTAAACATTGTTTTTGTTGTTCATTAAATAAAATAATAATTAAAATAATATACATGTATAACGTTCCCGTATAATTTATGGCATAAAATATAATTGTGTTTTTTCGTTATGTTTTTTTGTGGATTAATAAGTTGTATATAAGGAAATAGCGCTACCCAAAGGCTGGCTTCAATTTGATTTATGGTTTAAATACGTAAATTAGTCTCGATTAGTTATATGTACAATCATCGATCAGTTTAGGGTATGTAAATGGGGCATCAAAACGTTGTAAGATTTAAAACAATTGCACTTTAAATTAAATATCTATAAAATTAGGCATACAATTAAAGGTTCGTTTAAATGCAAAACAAATCGCTCGCAGCTACGATCCATCGTATTGGCAAGACCCCCAAGGTTAAACCAGTAAAGGGGTAACCAAACTAATTGGCTTAAATCTAAAAAAATTGTGGCGCATTCTTCCCCTTCGTTGGCATTGTATTAAGACCATCCTATCTAGGCAAAGCAAATCTTGACCGGTCCCAGAGGCAGTTGCTTCATGTAGTTCCAGGCATCCACCCGCGTCATTCGCGACGTGGAGGCACCATTGATACTCAGGATTTCGTCACCATTGCGCACCTGGTTGGTCTTCTGGGCGGCACCACCTGTTTACAAAACGTTGTAACCTTCATTAATAACCGCTTTTGAGTACTAAGACAAATGACCCTTACCCATGAACACCTTTTTGACAATAAGGGGACGATTTCCCAGCGGTGAATCAAAGCCTCCTTCAATGGAGAAGCCCAGGCCACAGCTGTCCTTGACAATCTCCACACAACGAGCTCCTCCTCCACTGGCCGCCGCATCCTCCGCTATAATTGAAAACGAGATTAATTAGAATAATTAATGAAAAACTTAGATTGTCATAGATATCTTAAAGTTTTCGGTTACAAATTTTCTTTGGTTCTTAACAGAAAGATGGTAAAATAAAAATAAAATGTTAAATTTAATAAAATTTAATTTAAATTTTATTGTTTATTGTTTATATAGTAACGCCATAAAATGTTTCATCCACAAATATTTTCAACATATTAATTCTTTATCTTTATTATTTATATAAGGAAGTAAGTGAATGCACCTTCTACGAAATTCTGTTTAATGAAATGTAGTTCTACTTATTAATTTGGGACCAGTATTGTTTTGCGAAATTAATAAGTATTTAAATAATCTTTAGTCATTTTTAATTATTTTGAATAATAGTTTAAAGCCCAATTTAATAATAAGTTAATAATGATTTTAATGAATTTGTTAGAATTTTGTCCCTTATAACCCACCCTGTGCCCGAATTTCCGCCGCGATCGCATTTCTCGCCTCCGCGAGAAAAGTATTTAAATAATCTTTAGTCATTTTTAATTATTTTGAATTATAGTTTAAAGCCCAATTTAATAATAAGTTAATAATGATTTTAATGAATTTGTTAGAATTTTGTCCCTTATAACTCACCCTGTGCCCGAATTTCCGCAGCGATCGCATTTCTCGCCTCCGCCGCCCTTTCCAGCAACTCACTCGTGCTCAGTTTAGCGGCATCTCCGCGGGACAACTGCCTCCTGGCCCGGATTCCCGCGATGGTGGCCTCCGCATCCTCGTCGTGCAGACTTGCCGGTTGCGGCGGACTCACGGATCCAGTGCTCGGAGTGGTGGCCACTGGCGATTCGCCAGCCTCGTTGGACACCAGATCGAGGTCCAAGTCCAGAGATCGGGAGGCCTTGTGGTAGTTCCTCTTGCGCTCGTAGTCCAACTCCGTGGGCTTCTCGTTGAGCGAGCTGAGCGATCCCAGGGAGGACCGCTTCTTGGTCAGCGCCTTCAACACCAGCGACTCGGAGCGGGTCACCACTAGCACCACCTCGGGTCGGGGGGTCTGTTGGGAAAAAAAATTAGTAATGACTTATAAACTATTTAAAAACTGTTAAGCCTCATCAATTACCAAAGACAGGAAGTTGACATTGATATAACTACTTCCAAATTTCACGTAAAAGTGGGTTTTTAGTCAAACAAAATTTTGAAAAACAAAATGTTAAAAAAATCTCAAAACCTCACAAGTATGTATTTAAAAAGCTTACAAATAGTGAGTAATTAATTAGCCACTTTATCATAAGCATAACAAATGAGTATGGTAGAAGAGTTAAAGTTTTATACGACAGACTAAATTAAAAAAAGAATAAACAAGTATACATTTAAATTTGTTAATTACAATTGTAACTTTCATATATTTTTTACGATTTGTTAAATTTGAATATTGGATTACTATTACTATGCTCATACCTTAAGCACGCTGATGGACTCGCGATGCGTCAATCCCCGCATGCTCATTCCGTTGACGGCGAGGATTCGGTCACCCTTCTTCAGACGACCATCCTTGGCAGCTGGGGTGTTGCTCAGGATCTTGTGGATCTGTTGGAGAGTAAGACAAAGCAATTAGGAACGGGTGAAAAGGGGAAGCCCATAGGAGAACGCACCGTAATCTCCTTAGCCTCGTAATCAGAACCCCCGGCCAGGGTAATTCCGATGCTACTCTCGGGATTATCCCGCTGCAGGACAATGATGAACGCCTCGGGGGTCTTCAGCGGAGGATCGGCCTCCTCCACGATCTGCTGGACGTCCTGGGCGGTGATCAGACTCTGGTTGCTGCCCAGCGAGGAGAAGCTGCCGAATTCGGTGGCCGTTTCCTGGGTGGTGCTCACGTTCTGGGTGGTGGAGCTGACACCCGAGGAACTGGACGCCAAGGAGTCCAGCGAGGAGAATCGCTCGTGATGTGGCTTCTGGGCGATCTTGTGGATCACGGGCGAGTGGTTTTGGGTTTGGGCTTGAGCAGCAGCACTTCTTTCGAACTTCTCGCGCAACTCGGCGGTGGTTTGCTGCTTTAGGGGTTCCCTCTTCGGAGAGGGCAGGACCATCGGCAGTGGCTTCACCTCCTGCACTTTGACCTTGGCCTGCTGGCTGGGGTCTCCCTTGAAGCTCGCCTTGCGCTCCTCGTCTATGAACATGGCACTGATCTTGGCCGGCGTATCCGACCTCCGGCTGCTGTCGTCCGTATCCGAGGTTAGTTCCACGTAGGCCGCCACATTGATGAGTTTGTCCACCACCAGCTGCTTGCCCAGCTGTATCTGTTGCTGCTGCAGTTTGTAGCTGGAAATGGGCTTCATTCTGCGATTGGCGAGGGAGCAGGCCTCGCCATCGGTGCTGTCGTTGTCCTCCTCCTGACCCCGACTCTTGGCACTGCGGCATTTGGCCGAGGCCAGGATGCTTTTGCGGCTGGAGAGCACCACGGGATCACCATTGCTCACCTGACTCTTCAATACCCTCCTGGTCAGATCCACTGCCGGTGTGCTGCCCAGGGAGCTGCAGCTGGCCTGGGACCCGGCCGAAGATCCAGAGGTTAGGGTAGAGGTGTTGGAGCTGGCTATCGAGGTGTTCGTCTCGGAACTCAGGGTTCTGGTCAGGGCGAACTTCTCTGGCGGAGTGGCCACCCTGGCCGTGTGCGAGAACACCGAGTCCGTGTCGCTTTCCTGATCCAAAGGCGGCGGTGGTGGCGGCATCATCATGCTTCTCGGCTGGAGCGGAGTCAGCGATGTCCTAGGCGGCTTGGCTGGCGGCTGGGAGAGCTGTTGCTCCAGCGGCCTTCTCTGGTTGCTGGTGAAGATGCTGCGATAGTTACTTCCGACACTGCCTGCACCCAATTGATTGCTCCTGTTGGCCGTGCTGCGGTGGCTCTCGCCCAGGCCACTGTCCGTACTGTCCTCCCCGCTGGCCGCCTTCACCTGGCTTTTGATCTCCGGCAGGTCCAGGATGGGTTCCAGCAACTGGGGTCTCTCGGGGATTACCAGACCTCGCAGTTTCGACAGACTCCGCCTTCTTTGCTCTAGTATATTTGTAATGGCAGCCTTTCGGTTGGCCGCCTCACCTCCTTCACCCGAGAAACTGATCCTTCGCTCCACGCCCGCGGAGTACGATCCTCCGTGACTGCGCCTCGGCAAAGAGGCGTAGCTCTGGGTGGGCGTGGCCGTGTTCAGGGAGTACATGGAGTCGGCCACATGCAACTGGGGCAGCTGTTTGGCCAACTGGTACTGCCGCTGGACATCGTTCAGATTTTCCACGCTCATGGCGCGAGTTTTCAGCGAAGGGGCCGAGGACGCCGAACAGCTGTCCAGCAGGTTCTCACTGCTCCGGTTCAAGGGTTTCCGGGAGAAGGATGTGGAAATGGGAGCTGTGGCCGGAGCCGGTGGTATGGCATCCAGTTCGTTGTTGGACGAGAACATGGCAATCTTGTCGCGCACCGACTTCTCCGACTTCTCATCCTTGCGCCAATCGCTGGGCTTTCGGGGAGCACCTCCACTCAGGGACCTCTGATAGTCCCGGCCCAAGCTCGGAGCCGGTTCCACGTTTATGACCAAGTCCTGGCGGTACACTTTCCTAGGAACCGTGGCCGGGGGTCCCGTTTTGGGCAGTGGTGGGGCCGCAGAGCTCTCCTCCTTGCCATTCTGAATCTCGTAGCTCAACTCGGTGGTGACCTTCAGTGGGTGGCTGTGCATGATCAGTGGCTCGCTGAAATTGGGCGGAAACTCATGACCATCGGGCGGTAGGCGGGAATATGTGGGTGGTGAGGCCTTGCTCAGGTAGTCCTGCACCAGCAGCTGTTTCGTAGTGGTGGCCTGGTGCAGGTGGTGCGTTGCTGTCGTCGTGGTCGTTGCTGTTGCTGTGGGGCTGCTCAGCAGCTCCATTTTGCCGGGGTTCAGTGGTGCAGCAGGTTTGCTTGTGGTTGCCGCCTCAGTGGTTGTCTTCTTGCTGCTACTGCTGCTGGTACTGATGATTAAAGTTGCTGCCGGGATGCTGCTACTAGCGCTGATGTTGCTGTGGTGGTTGCTGAGGGTACTAAGATCTGCAAATGGGTTGGGATAGAGAGCGGGAAAGGTTTTGGTTAGACAAACATAAAACACAAGGAGCCAACATGAGGATACATAAATGGAAGTAACTCTAAAGTCTTGCGAAGGAATAACAGAAAAGGGTGTTCTATATTCTACGCGATAAATCCGGAACAGGCGAGAGCAAAAGGTTAATCTTTAAAAAAAGTGAGCATTTTAAATATTTAAAAGAAAAGTTATTACAGTAAAGTTTATTTTATGGCAAACTTTTTAGAAATAGTTATCATCAGAGATCATGATATGATGGTTAGATACCAGATCTAATTTAGGCTAAAGGTAAGTTAAACAGAAGATTAGCACAATGGTAAAATCCTTGGATCTAAAAGAATCCAAAGTGAGCAACGAAATATCGTATAAACATATACGAAAGTCCTACATCTCTTCCGACTATAGGTAATACGAATTGGAGTAGTAAGCTGTTGGATAATCGAAAAATAACACAGAAAAGGTAGACGTATTAAAAATCTATTCAAAAGACCATTTCCACCAAACACAGAAATCATTTAAATAATGGTCAATTAGTTGTCGGGGGAGAGCTGTGTTACAAAACTTAAGTAATTATCCATCCATCCATCCCAGCGAGCAAAACTTTCGCTCCCAGCAAGCCCTCAAATAGTTGTCATTATGCGCTAACCGGAGACGAAAAACAAAAGCGAATCTTACGGATGCGATCCCAGCAATTAAAAACCGCAACAATAACAAGAAAAATTGGTTAAACGCTGTGGTTGACAGAAGCGTTTCTAAAAATCGCACAAAACGAAAGAGAAGGTCCAAAAGGCGGAGACAAAGATTTAGGCAAACAAATTATACGCGAAAAAAACAAAACTAGAAAACGAAAATAAAAGGGTTTCCCAAAAGCGAAAGTCGCGAAAAGAATGGATATGGATTCCCTCAAGCAAAAAGTTGACAAAACCTTTTATCAAAAAATTAACCAAGGTCTGCTGCCTCACATTTCGCTTTTTGAGGTCACTCGGGGGAGTTTCGATGGCTAATTTCTATTTAAATAATTTATGGCTTATCTGGAAAGAGTTTCTAATGGCAGCATTTAACTTTGATTTGTTGGAAGGCTCTAAATCTTAATTGAATTCGTCAAAATAGGAAACACTGGACAGGTGGGGGAATGCTTCTTTGGACTTGTAACAATTTGCATAATTAATTGAACAAAAAATCTAAAAACAAAACGAGGCTAAATTTCATTAAAATGGAAAACGCTGCGTCGATTTTTTCCACTCTATCTCGCACTCTTTCTGCCTTTTAGCCATACACACAAAATGTTAATGAACTTTTGCAAATGTAAAGTTCGCAAAAAAAAAAGAGAAGAGTAGCGAAAAATAAAAAATACAGAAGAATTGTTTAATAAAAAAGGCAACAAAAAATCATGTTTGCATGTGCCGAAAGCAAAAAATGGTTATGGTTGAAGAAAACAAACCAAGAAGTGCGTACAAAATTGCAAAATGTAAAGTCAAGGGCCTATAAAAGAACTTTGACCTTGGACATAAGAAGAAGGTGGAGAAATTTTTTATAATTATTTCACATATAGTGGATGTGATCGTTTTTAAAGTGCTGGAACTTAACGTGGTGGAAATTAACTCTAGATTCACATACCGATTTTTAGCAGATCACATTAAAATATGTTTTGACTTTAAGGCATTTTTCATTGAATGGACACCACTTCTCTGTTGCTCAGTTTTTACACGACTGTCGGTTGCAAAGAAAATAAATATTAACTCATCGAACTGTTTGCCCAATGAGCCATATCGTCGCCATATCCCTCCGACTGAGTCAGACTAAACTACGTCATTCGGTGACGGAACTTAAGCCCCTCAACGCACCTGCATTATATCACCCAATTACATATATTTCTCATTGAATTCGGCTACCAACAATAAAAAATGTAGGCTATTGAGGCACCCAAATAATAATTGTAATTTTTTTTCTAGCAAATCTCCCTAAAAAAATAGTTTATTGTTTGTTCCTCGAGGGCTTAATTAATCAAATTGGCTAAGAAATTTTTTCTCACATTATGGTAGTGGTCTGTGATGTCAAGCGATTAATCTTGGCCTAGCAAGTGTAACATGAGTTGGTATTTATAAGCTTTTGAATATCCAAAAACTAAAAACTCGTTGCTTGCATACTGTTAATCAAATCAGCTTTATGGCGAGGTTAAGGTTCGATCTTTGGCATACGATTTTATAACATTGGCATACGATTTTATAACATTTTTTCCGCAATGAGGTAAAACAATTCTAAATTTACAGTTGTTTATTTCCTCTCTTTCCCAGATATTTAATTTTATTTCACATTAGCACCCGCTGAGAAGTGATCTGCTCGGGTCTGGGAGTTGGATTTAATTGTAGTTTTCAGGGGGTCTCCAAAATCCACGGGGGATTGTGAGCGAGTGAGCCTGTGTGAAAGGTTGTTGATACGGTATTCATATAATGCCAATTTTAGATTGGTCTAAAAAAAGAAGAGAATGTGTGGAAAGGTAATTTCATAATGAATTCTTTTCGGGGAGTTCATTCCATTACGTGTGGTGGCGAAATTTGAGTTGTGTGCAGTACTGAATTGATTTGAATAATTAAAAGTTTGTTCTCATATTGGTTCTTGATTGCAGAAAACTGCACAGGAGAACCTGTTTTTATACCCTTGCAGAGGGTATTATAATTTTGGTCAAAAGTGTGCAACGCAGTGAAGGAGACATCTCCGACCCTATAAAGTATATATATTCTTGATCAGGATCACCTCCTGAGTTGATATAGCCATGTCCGTCTGTCCGTCTGTCTGTCCGTCTGTCTGTTTCTACGCGAACTAGTCCCTCAGTTTTAAAGATATCGAATTGAAACTTTGCACACACCCTTCTTTCCTTTGCACGCAGTATATAAGTCGGAACGGCCGGGATCGGCCGACTATATCCTATAGCTGCCATATAACTGATTGATCGGAAATGCAATAACTTTAGTGTTTGTAAAGTTAGGAAGTTGGGATTTTCTATGGGTTTTATATTTGGCCAATCAATCTGACCTACCAAATTTCATAAGGATCGGCCGACTATATCCTATAGCTGCTATATAACTGATTGATCGGAAATGCCATAACTTTGGTGTTTGTAAAGTTAGGAAGTTGGGATTTTCTATGGGTTTTATATTTGGCCAATCAATCCGACCTACCAAATTTCATAAGGATCGGCCGACTATATCCTAAAGCCGCCATATAACTGATTAATCTGAAATGCCATAACTTTGGTGTTTGTTAAGTTAGGAAGTTGGGATTTTTTATGAGTATTAAGAATGCATCATATGAATAATTTTGGAGAATATAATTTGCAGAATATTCTGCAAGGGTATTTCAACTTCGGCTCCGCCCGAAGTTAGCTTTCCTTTCTTGTTAAATTACAGTGCTTTGCTTGAATTCAATAAGTTACTTCCTTGAGTCGACATTTTCCCCATCCATTGATCGATTTTAGCACTTGGACAGCAAGTAGTTTCAATCAAATTCTTTGTTCTTCAGCTCTTCCATAGCATTGGCGTGCAAAAGTATCATTTAGATCTTTGTACTTCACAAATTGAGTTCAACTTTGTCGGCTTTTCTGCTTTTTAGCTCTTTTAATTCACCTGGTCTTTCATCAAAGTTGTCTCAAGCATTTCCGTGCCACAAAACATGCCAAAGTGTCGTCTTTAATTAGAAGTGAAACCGAAGAAAATAGAAGACTGGAAAATGCAGAAATGGAAGTGGAAGACAAAGCAGCTGAAGAAGAAGAAGCCGCCAGCCAATGTCAAGTTCTTCGGAAAAGCTCGCTCGCATAACTGCAGTTTTTCCTATAATCACTTCCGCTATGCGACGGGCTCCCAAAGCGCCACCTACAGTTGATAATTATAAATTGCCTTTTTCCCGGGCGAAAGATTTTCCCACAGAACCGATGAAAATCCTGTAACAAATTGCTCGCATTTAGCGAACAAAGTGCTGCCTTCTTTGCGCTCCCTCTTCTTATTTTTTCCACATTTTTTCTCTGCCCTTCTGCGGTGGGAAAAATCTGAGCTTGGCTATTTGGCGCGTAGCTAAATAATTGAAATTAATATTTTCTGTTGAACTTTTATGCTTTTTAACAAATTTCTTTAAAATGAAAACAGTTTATCGCGTCTGGCTTTTTCGCACCGCCGTCGGCCTTCTTTTGACGTTCGAAATCGTGGGCCAAAGAGGGGTTAAAAAATGCGTAGATTGGTAGCCCGCAGAATTTTTTCCACTTGGGCAGCCCCATTCTGCGGTCGCTTCTTCTGCTTATTTCTCTCCTTCTTTTATCCCCATCGCAATTTTCTGAAGTGGTTAAAAAAATTGTATTTCCCAACTAGCGAGCTCCGCATATTTCATTTTAATTATTTTATTAAAGTCTCCCGGACATAATGTGCAATTATTTAAAGTGTGTTCGATGCTGAAATGACGGATTGACGGATGGCCTAAGGTGTATTATTATCTAATGCCATTTAATGATCTCTCCACTGCAATCCGTTTGCATAATTCCCAACAGCTGATTGACGACTCTGCTCGACTTTGGCTTGTGTGCCAAAAATAAACTTCAAGTTTGCCTTGGATTCTTATATCTTTCTCATCTTCACATTTCTTACCTGTGCCCTCCATCTCGTCACATCTGGTTTTCAAAATTGTTTTGTCATAAGAGCGGCACCACCGACAACAAGGGTTAAGAGGAATGCGAAGGCAACAGCTGCTCAGGTTGCAACCAGTTAGAACAGCGGCGAGTGTACGGTTTATTATGCGTAAAATGGATAAGGGTGAGCAGAGGACGAAGGGTATAGCCGACAGCGGTGATACCCCGTTTTTGAGTCCGTATTAGATTAGTTTGTATTTTTTTATAATTCTACGAAAGTTGCGATCTTAAATACGTTTTTGTTAAAGAATTAAATCGTTTTTAGGATTAGGAAGCCTAGAAAGTTGCAGAATATAA